AGCTTCCAAACATAGTTTTTCCTTTTTTCCCTAAGAAGGAGAACTGTTCAGCTAGACTATCTGTAATTATGGGTGCGATACATCGTCTTATAAATTCATAGATTCCAAGTTGTGAAAAAAACTGAACCTATAAATCAGAAAAAGAAACTATACTCACTAATGTAACTTTATGAAAATTCTAGGATAATGGATAAAAAAGAAATTACCAATGCTGAATAATTTTCAGAATCTGAAAGGAAGTTTTCAAAAACTTCCTTACGATATTCTGCTCTACATTTTCCCACTTTGGAATTAATTTCTAACAACAGTGTCTGTATACACTGAGAAAAAAATGGGACAAATAAACTGTTTACCTAATACTTTTATTTGTAGTGAATATATTGTTTATTACCTCTAAATAGTCGAAATAATAACGATAAATATACTTTAGTAAAACTTTATATGTCAGGAATAAAAATATATTTAGGATAAATAAACTGTACCCTTGTCCCATATTTAAATATTTTTTTTATTTGGGAGCAATAAACTTTTTTCTCCGTGTATAATATATATTATATAACAGTTGTGGATGGCAACAACAACTAGTACAGTGGCCGACAAGGAATTTCGAACATCAAATCTCTGTCATTTCAAAAAATGTCAGTGTAAACCACACTTTAATTGCTAACATGAAATTGATTTTTGTAATTATTGACGTTTATATATTTTTTTATTATTGACGTTTGTAATTTGTAATTTAAAAGTGAATTTAAAGCGTCAACTTGACCACTGATATAGAAAATGCCAGCTGTATCTTACTTTAATAAAGTTAAAATGGTAACCCTTCTTCAGAGCGGCATGTCGTATAGACAAGTTTCGGTACATTTAGGTATACCAAAGAGCACCATACATGCAATTATACGTAAATGGACACTAACTGAATTAGTGGATCGGCGTCCAGGTTCTGGGGGTCGCCGAATATCTTCCGCTGAAGAAGACGAAGCGATCATATATGTAATTAGGAATAATTCTTTCTCCAACGCCGTTCAAGCACTCGGAATTACATATTTCCCGGGGTCAGTCAGAACTGCTCATCGACGAATAAAGTAAAGTGGCTTGCATAATCATGAGGCAGCAAGAAAACCAAAATTAAGGCCTTGGCATAGGGAAGCAAGAATTGGTTTCGCATTACAAGACCTAGCATAAGATGATGCATTTTGAAGTCGGGTAATTTTCTCCGACGAAAAAACTTTTCAATCATGCCCAAATGGCCGGATCAGGGTATATAGGCCCCACAATACACGTTACAATTAACGATATGTTGATGCAGTCAAAAGTAGCGGACGCTTCTCTGTCAACATTTGGGGCTGGATTTCGGCGGAGAGTCCTGGGATAATACTGCTCGTAGAGGAGAGACTAACAAGTGACGTTTATATTAGGATACTTCAAAACGTGATGCTACCTTCTGTGGAACGGCATTATCCTAACAATAATTTTGTTTTTCAACAAGATAAATGCTCGGTTCACACAGCACGGAGGGTAGCAGCATGGTTTCAAAATAATAATATTAACGTCCTTGATTGGCCTAGTCACAGTCCGGATTTAAATCCGATAGAGAATATGTGGGGATTAATGACAAAACGTTTAAAGGAGCGACGGATAGAAGTTCAAAATAGGGAAGAACTTATCCTTGCAATAACTGAAGCCGGGCAAGGTTTGCCATTGCATTATCACCGAAATCTATGTCTCTCCATGCCGACTAGATTGGCACAAGTTATTCAATCGAATGGAGCAACGGCCAAATATTAGTTTACATATTTTTGTTTAGTTTAATTTAAATATTACAAAATTTAATAAAATAATAATAAATAATATTAAATTATTTTAATTTGGTTGTCTTTGTGTGATTCTATAAATGGCAGAGATCATTAAATAAAATTTTGCTTTCGCTGTCAAGATGACGCGTCATGACTGTCCGGAAGTAAGGTTAGTTGTCATAAAGGCAGATTTAGATTTTGATGTCAAATGAATTATAAGTCGTTCAAAATTCCGTGTCCCCCACTGTACCTGTTTTGAATGTTTCACCTAAAATGCATTCATTAGGTACACAGTTTTAAGAACAGCTCAGAAAACTTACCTATACTGTTTATATTGTTCTTTATTAATTCTAGGGCGCTTTTCAAAGTTGATGGAATAGGGCTCTTTTTAGAAAAATTACTGTCTGCTTGGAAATCTGTAACAGTGAAATTTAATTAGTATTGACATAAAAGTAATAAACAGAACAACATTAATTAAATACATTATAAATAATATTATACTACCTTCCAAATTACTGCACTTTTCTTCAACAAGCTAAGAGGATATCCAAGTTGGTGGAGGAGGTAATTTTTTGGATTTTTGCCTAGAGGCTCTTCATTTTCCTAGTCAGAATATTATAATAATCCAGCGAGTCTGAGAGACTCCATGTCACTGTTAAAGTAAAACTTTTTCATGTCACCAGTTATACATACATACCTATATATATACATTAAACATTTCCTTAGTAAAATTGTCATAAAACTTGTTATAACTCCTTTCATAATATATAATCCAATCTATACATGGCAAAGCAAAAAACTAAAGCATACCTACTCCATTCAAAAATAACTCTCCATGAGTCCTGGATAACACCAAGATACACTTAAATGTAACTCAAAATATGTGTATATCTTGCAATTTATTCCAATAATTATTATTGTATATTTGTATTTTCCGATATTCTAAAAAAGGGGATTTTATATTTATCTGTATTATTGTTTGATGCTGCTTTGGCAATGGAATCCACCCTTTCATTCAAAACAATCCCTGAATGACCTTTTCCACAATTTTTAATTTGTCATATCTGTTTCAGAAGTACCTACTTTTCTTTGACCGAAATCTTGTTTGAACGAAAGTATCTCATTTAAGAAAATACGATTTTTTACGAAAAATGTGAACGAAGCCTTACGCCTTTGACGTTTCAAAAACAACGTTGCCACACATTTTAGACCCACCGCGCTTTTAAATTTTAGACCCATCGAGTTTAGATCTCTCGTGTTTGGGTGTCACGAAGCGTACCCGAAAACCGAAGGGGTAATTTGGCGGGAACCTAGAGATCAAAGAAGAAGAAGACGAAGAATAATTCTTCTTCTTCTTCTTCTTTGATCTGAAAAAACGTCTCCGTTTCTTAAGCGGGAAATTCAAATTTTCAATGTAGCCAACGTAATATAATTGAATGTTTCCAATAGGGAATTTTATTTTTTTACCATTGGCAACATCGACCGCATTCCTTGCATATGGTCAATTCGAAATAGGACATCACTATGGCAAATATCACCTAGTGAGAAAAAAATGTCACTAAAATAGTTTTGTGGTTCGCATCAGTGCAGAGACATTGTCTCTGATCAGTGTTGAGAACCGTAAGATTTTAATCGTATTTGTACGATTATCTTCATGTCGGTACGATGTACGATTCATTATGTTAAATCGTACGCATAAATACGATTTTTTGTTTAGGAGTTCTTTGTATTTTCGAAAATTAATAAATTTACAATTTTGTTCTTTGGTTCCCGCCCCCCAGATTTCAAGACTTGCGAATTCGCAGGATCTGTCAAAACGCTTTTCCCGCCAAATCAAATGGACCAATAAAAACATTTTTCGTATTTCGCATTTCGCATCTATTATAGATGCGAAATGCGAAATATAATATGAAACCGCTTTTAAAATACGATTTTTGTTGGTTTTCCGTACGATTATTGTTTTTCCGCATGTTGGCAACACTGGTGCCATCAAAAAAACACCATTGTACTGATTGCTGCCATCCAATGTATTATCCATGTTGCCAATATTAGAATATAAACTTTTAGTTCTATTACATTGTTTATTATTTGGATAATATCTTATGTTCTGTGGATAATATTAAGCAAAGTTGATACGTTTTACCTTTTTCTTTAAATACATATTTATGAAAAATCCAAATTATTATAGGTAAACCAAATTAAATTAATTTTTTGTATATAATTAATAATAATCCATAATTCTTGACCTGCTCAATAGAATCTCTTGTTAAAAATAAAATTACCTATATGAAAGGGTTTAATAATTATTAATATAGCAATCTAAAGTAAAGTGATTTTTATTTTAGGATTGCCTTTTTTGATCAGATATGTGTAAGTTAAGTCATGTCTTATACAGAATTGGAAACTGGATACCAGGGTCTTTGTAAAGCTACGAGACCTACACAATTTTATGTTGGAACAGTAAGTACCTATACCCTTGTCTCTGCCTATACCTACCAAGTCTTAAAGCATATAATAGCAATAATTATTACCTATATTAAGGAGTCTACTTTTTAGCTATAAAATTTAAAAACCCTGCATTATGTTAAATTGGCTGGTTAAATTATAGTCTTTGCAAGGTTTTTTTATGTTTCTATAGAAATATATTAAAAAATAAGTAGATATTTTATACATAAGAAAGGCTTTGTTATCTATGTTACACATAATAACCACAGTATACGATTTAATTGGTTTACAAGGCCAAATTTATAATTTGCTTTTCTTTGCTAGCTAAATTTTGGTTATGATTTGACTATGGGTTACAGTGTTTGCCCACAGTTATAATCAAATATGTTGATATTACTGATACTGATACACTACCCCATAATCATTCATTGTACCTAACCAAAATTTAGATGGCTAGAATAGCAAACTACATTTTTTATCAATTGATACTAGTATTACTAATAATCAACTACTTCATGGCACATAGTACTTTATCACGATACACATATACACATATGTGTATCGTGGTACTTTATGTTAATATTTTCCTAATTTACTAACCTGTTTTTATGGCTGCAAATTGCCTCTAATTTGATTAAATTTGTTTGTGTAATTAATTAAATTAAAATCTCCATTGGTTTATTACACATAATTTTATTGTAAGTATTGATTTAAGCTCAGATAATGTACAGATAAAAATGAATATACCTACCTATAGTAATGTGTTTTGTTTGTAACTTTTAAAGTATCAACCTTGAACAAAAAATATTGGCTCATAAAACACCACATTAAAGTGTTTTGCTTTGGACAGTTTGTTTGTCAGTTTTTAAAATCAAAATTTAAGGTTTTTAATTGATAAATTTGATAATAAAATGGAATGGAGTTGGTTAAAGGATTGGTGGAGAATAAAAAAGTGGAGAAGAACAAGAAAATCAAGTGAACCCATTTGTTATTGTGATGAATGCTTGCAATGTGATGTTGGTGTTTATTTTTTAAAATTTTTATCATAGATTATAATTACACAATTTTTATATACAGATTTTCACATAAGTAGTAAGGTAATTTTGTCAATAGTGAGCCATTTTTGAGAAATTTTTATTTTGGTTCCTAATAACTTAAAGGAGTAAGTTACTACAAGTAAAGGAGGATTTAGCCAGCATTTAATGTAATGTAGGTACCCTGCTTAAAATAAGTCAACAATCGTAAATTAAAATAAATCGGCAGTAAAGTTCTACTTTACTGCTGATTTCGGATAAAATAATTTTTCGTCAATCTTAAGTCTATTTTTAGTTAATCAAGCACTAACATTAGTTGTTTCAACAGCTATTTTGTTAAAATATTCATCAATGTTAGGATATTGCAGTTGGTGACCGGTAACTTACGTGACATTTGCAACATAAAGCCTGCATTTTAGGAAAAAATTAATAGATTAGGGTTGTCATAATTTAAGTTCCCATTACCTTAAAATGCTACATGCTCATTACACTAAAAAAAACCTTGAGCGAGAATTAGTTTTCACAAAAATAAGTGGATACAGCATCGAAACAAGTTATATGAGAATTTACCTTATAGTATCAAATGCTTTTGTATAATCGAGGAGGACAAGACCTGTTAATTTTTTGTTATCAGACGCCTTCAATATTTCATCAGTAATACTTAGTAAAGCAGTGCTACAACTATGAGAAGAACGAAATCCTGACTGGTTTGGAGGTATAATGTCAAAAGATAACAAATATTTCTTTAATTGCTTTTCTAGAACCTTTTCCAGTATTTTTGAAAATGTAGACAACAGGCTTACTGGTTGTAGGTTATTTAGACTTGTGGGATTTGAAGTTTTTGGAAGAGGCACTATTAATGCTTTTTTCCAATCAATGGGAAAAACTGAGTGAGTGATACAATAATTAATAATATGAGTAATATATGGTAGTAAAAATGGGAGACATAAATTTAAAGTAAAGATATTTATACCATCAAACCCATGAGCTTTGCTTTTAATATTGGAGATAATTATAAGGACATCAATTTCATTGACCATTTTAAAACTGAAAGTAGAATTGCTAATTTTTGTATTATTATAAAAGTTAAGAATATCTGGATCTGGACTCAGTTTCGGTATAGAATTTATAAAATGATTGTTTATTTGATCGACATGCGAAAGACTTAAGGGCAAACTGATAGTTGGCTTTTTAGAAATATTTAATTGTTTTAGATTGTTCCAAAATAGTTTTTTATCTGGTTTAGCAAAAATTAAGTTAAAGTATGCCTTTTTTTCCTTTTTTATAGCAGACGAAACCATGTTACGTAGCCCTTTATATGATTCCCAGAGATTGTTTGTTTTATGGGTTTTGAAACTGGATAATGCCTTATCTTTATCATCCATCATGGACTTTATTGTAGGAGTTAACCAGGGAGCATAAGGCTTACTCACTCGAAAAGTTTTAATTGGTGCGTGTATATCTAAAAGAGCAGTTATATTTTCAGTAACAAATTGTACCTTACGATTAATATCTTCAATGTCAGATATGTTTCTCCAAGGAATAGCTTTAAGATCATAATCAAATTAAGCAAGGTTGAGGTTTTTAAAACTTCTTTTGGTGACAAATCTAGGTTGCTGTTTCTTTGATTTAGTGTTGACATTGAATTGACATAATTCATGATCGGTAAAACCATGAACTGACTGTATTTCGATATTTGAAATTATTGTTTTATTCGAGCACAATATATAGTCAATAAGAGTAGCAGATTTATTTGATATTCTAGTAAGCAATTTAACTAGCTGATTTAGGCCTATAGGTACTGTCAAATAGTTCTTGGATTTGTGTTGATTCCACAGAGTCAAAATTAAGTAGGTCAACATTAAAATCTCCAACACATATAAGATTATTAACCGTAGGTAATATGTTTATTACTGAAGTTTCAAAAGAATCTAAAAAATGTTGAAGATTGTTATTTGGAGGTCTATAAATAACGCCGATAGCTAATTTACCAAAAGAATTAGCTAGTTTTATCCACAGTTCTTCAGTATTATTTGATTTTAAGGAAATTTTTGTGAACTTTAATGAATTTCTAACATAAATTGCTACTCCACACCCTCTTGTTGCCCTATCGGCTCTTATCACAGTAAAATCATTTATATTAATCAAGGAATTTGCAATGTCTCTACTTAACCAAGTTTCAGTTAGGCAAAATACATCACAATTATTCGCAGAAATAATATTTTTACGTCTTCAAAATGGGGCAGCAAGGACCTCACATTTAAACGGGCGCATTTGATATAATTCATTTTACAAAAAATTGTTATACCTATATCAACTTAAAGAAATAATTAAACAGAGTAAATAAAGGTACGAAGGCTAAATTTGTATTAAGATTTAAACAATAAATCAAAAATTTTGAGAAACAAAAAAAAAATTTAAAAATAGGTTTTATTTTTTTGCAGCAGGCCTTCCCCTATTTGGTTTTTTATTTTTGTGGTCGGTTTCTTCTTCGATTGAGGGGTTTTCTTTCCGTTTACTATTTTTACTATTTTGGAATTCCCAGCTGCAGCTCATGAGACCTCAACTTCTTCTGCTTCACTTTCTTCCAACTCTTCACTTAAATTCTCTTTTTCCAAAAGTTCTTCATAAGTAACTATCTCACCATTAATAAAAATATTATTATTATATATTATTTTTTATGTAAGCCTCACTATTTTCAGCCATAGCTCGTTTTTTATATTTGTAGAGAAGTTTGTTTTTTTGATAGTCCTGGGTATAATCTTGTGAGACAAAGATGTTGGTGCCTTTTAGTTTATTTGCAGCCTTGAGAATATTAAGCTTTAATTTGTAATGCGTTAGTTCAATTGCAATAGGACGACTTTTTTCAGTGACCTTTTTCCCAACACGATAAATATCTCTAAATTCTTCACTCACGCACTTTATATCTAATTTATTATTTACTAGGCTTAGAATAATATCCTCGTCGGGTTTGCGTTCCTCTTCTTTAACACCATAAATAAAAAGGTTGTACTTTTTCAGTGTTCGCTCTGTTGTAGGTAGTCTCTTTTTTAATATTAAATTTTCGGATTTTAAATTTGCGTTTTCTGTTTTAATATTTTCAATTTCTTTGGATATATCTGATTTAATAGACCTAATTTCATTAATTAATTCTTCTTTCAACGACTTATTTTGGTTTTGTACGTTTTGTAATAATTTAAAGATATCACTATTGGAGATCTCACTGTTACCCATTATATTTGTTTGTTAATAATCGTAAATTTTATATAAATAGCAATAGCTCAGCGGTAACGACTCTGACAACGATTCAGGCGACCCGAGTTCAATCCCAGGGCGGCGACGAATAATTTTTATTTATGATTGTCAGTAAAATATTATTTTTTGTCTTATAATTGTTTGCTTGAGTAACCTTCTTCAATAACATATTAAATGTAGATTTTAAAGTTAAAATTTTTAGTTTTTGGCACTCACGTGTATAAAATTCTATATATTAAATTATCACACTAAACTTTCACTTGTTATATACATATAGTTTTGCGAAAAATTCAGCAATTTAAACTTTAAATCACTGTATGAACGTTACAAAGGATTAACTTTTAAGTTAAATTAAATTACATCTTAAATTAAATTACTTTTCTGTTAGAACCAGGCTTTACAGAACACAATGTAATTTTAATTATGGCACAGCGCTTTTTTATTTACATGAGATGAAAATGAATCAGCGCTTGCGCCGGGAGTACCAATATTAAATTTGCAACAACAAAATTTCCTACCGAATACCGAAATGTTTATGTATAACGTTATAAAAATACCATGATTATAAACTCGTAGGTATATTATTATACGAGATATAATGCGCATAATCTCGAGTGTAATACTATACTTTTTCTACTCCAATTACGTAATTTTCATTGATAACAAAATTTATTATAACCTCACTTGCATTCTGTACTCGGATGATTTACGTCTCTCGCCTGACGGCTCGTGATGCAAACCTCATCCTTGTGCATTATCTCTCGTATAATAATATACTATTATTACAATAATTATTGTAAGTTCAAGTTACAATTATAGGATAGAAATTGCAAAAATCAAAGTTAGTTTTGGATAAAACTTTTGTTGGCCCTTCTACGCCTTCGTGAATACAACGTGAATAATGAGTTCATTAATCCCGTTGTAAAAATAAATACAGGTAGAATACAGTCAAAACATACAAAAATAAAAATAAAATACTATAGTTAATATATTAAAGCATATAAATTAGGTACAGTATCATCCATGATACAACAAACCAAAGGTATGATTTCGCGCAGGGAGGCGTGGCTTAGTGACACGTCATGACGTCAGAAAGAGAGTTGGAATTTATTTCGCCGCTAGATTACCGTTGAATTACAACACGTGCGTTCAGTTTTTACGAGATTTTTTCTATTATTTTTGATTAATAATGAAGTGTGCTGTGTTTGGGTGTATTAGTAACAATACGTTTCCTAAAGACAATAAAACGAAACAAGATTTTTTTCAATATTTTCAGCCAGATTGTGTTTTTTATTTTAAATTTTGTTGCACATAAAGCCATTGTATTTTTTTAAATAAATTTATTAATATATAAAAACCTTACTGGAATTTTATCTGTAAATTTAAAAATAAACACTGCCTTAATAGGTATATTTTTTTATTTATTTTTATTTGTTGTTTCAATTATTTTATGCATCAAAATAATACCCAAAATAGTATATTATGTATCAAGTTTTATAAATGCCATTTTAGTTACGAGTTTTATTAGACACGAGCGAAGCTTGCAAGCGAGTGTTTAATAAAAACGAGTGTCTAGAGAAGTTTATAAAACGAGTTGCATGCTATACTTTATCTACGACGCACAAGAAGAAGAATTTAAAGCCAATTTTGTTTGTTAAAATTTTGACATCTGTCAACTTTTAACGGATTTAACCTCACTTTTCCCTAATTTATAATAAAGGTAACTT